TGATTTGGGATTATACTGCCTCTTAAAGTATAGTGTTATTTACTTACGTGGCAAACCATCCTTGTGATTATCCCAACTAAAAAAGGGTAGCAGTTCTTGTAGGGAATTGGCACTTGATTTTTGCATCTTATACATGTTTCTCTTGTTGAGGCATTTTGTGAAATACTATATTTATGACATCATGTTAATGTTGCAAGTTTGCAACAGATATGGGGTCACTGTTCCAAGAATATCATGGTCTTGTTTTGAGATTTCTGAAGTGGATATGAGAAACTGCGTTTCAACAATAGGCATTATGTGGAATAGAATGAATCATGGAACACGGTTGCTGGCTCAAGGTGAAGACTGGTGTACTTTTCTTAAGGTACACTACTTCCAATAGAAAGTCATCATTTAAACTTATTCAAAGAAAGACCTAGTTTTTAGGGATAATAATAATTCCTGAAATAATCAAATAGTTCTTCATCTTGTGTTTGTTTTATTTCTGTTCTTTTGTTGGGATGTGGGGAAGTTCTCCTTTCCCGTGAGTTCCCGTTAGTCCCATTTCAGTCATCCTATACCTAGTAGTGCTGTGAATGCATCTTATTTTATTCCAATTTCTGTTATCCAATAAAATTGATTTTTATTTCCTTTACAATTTGTCACTCTCAGTCCAAAACATCCTAAACGCTTTCGCTTCCAATCGAAAACATCCCAATCTTATACTAAATGCGGATAGTGGAATATTTTGAAAGACAAAAGCACAATATAATAAACTGAAGTCATGTACAAAATGTTGAATGCCACATTTTGTATCAAAATTTACATATATCAAAATTTGATTCTCGTAGGATGCCACATTTGGCAAGCAGTGAGAATTTAAATCCAGCTATAATGAATAACAACTGAAAGAGAATATGGAGTCTATTTTCTGGTGACATTATTTTATTTCTGATGAAGGTGGCAGGGTGTCTGTACTGTTTAAGGCTGATTGCTTCACTTACATTGGCCGGTTCACTTGCCACAGGTACACTTGATGTTTGGGGCTATGGTTTTGTGAAAACATTCTATTGTGTTATGTTCTTTAATTAATGGGAATTTCTCTCTACAAATGCTTGCAGCCCTAGTTGCGGCATTCTCAGTTTTCTTCATTTATGAGCAATATGAGACTGAAGTTGATGGAATGTGCCATGTCTTGTTCAGCTATGGGATGAGTGGCCTTTCATCTTTGTCGCGGAACTTGCCAATGCCCTTGGGGTCCATACTCTCGACCTTCGAAGCGTCTATCAAGAGAAGGGATTAACTTAAAAAAGAATCAGCAAAACCCATTCTGTCTACCCCTAGTGCTCCAAGTGGGAGGCCGGTTCTGTTGTCTGACTGTATATAAGTGATTTTCTTTGATAGTTTTTAAACAAAACACTGTTACTACCCTTAGTAGTAAGAGAAAAGTAGGGAGAAACCAGAGTGAGAGAGGCTGAATGCTCCATCTGCTTCTACTCTTTTTCCATAGAAGCCAAAAAGGCTATGAGAGAATTGATTAAATACGTTAAACCCAACCAATCTTTGAACTGGTAAAGTAGTGACTACAGTTTTGATAGAATCACATATTACTAATAAAACGATGAGTTTTTCGGGTTTAAGGGGTCTGATGTGTATTTCTGCTATGTTCTTTCAGTCTAATGCAAATTTTACATGCTTAGAAGTAGGTGTCTGTATCTGGTGAAACCGCATGGGTTGCTGAATGTAGACTTACATTTGTAAGATAAGACTATGCCCTGACCAACTACCTCTGGCCTCTGGGGCTCTGGTCTACCTCTATCCATTCCTCCATCAGCTTTTATTTGTTTTAGTATTCTCTAAAACTAAAATTATCACATCTACTTGAAATCATTTCTCTGATGGATGGATGGATGGATGTATCCATTTCTAATGGTTTTAAATACTACTCCGTACTACGTCCATCCCCCAATATTGGCACAAAAGAGGGTGATGCGGTTTTTAAGAAAAATAGAGGTATGTGGTTGATAATGAATTGGTAAAGTGAGAATAAAGTAAGAATGGATTAGAGTCACAATAAATGTTATCAAATATGGTATGAGACAAATTTAGTGGGAAGGATGAATTTATAAAATGAGATAATTATAGTGGGACAAAGGGAGTGTATTATCTTTCTTAATCACTGCACTAATTATATTTGTTTGTATCCTTTAAAACGCAAATATGATGTCATGTCTTTTTTCTAGGCATTTTGCATCTTGTTGAGAACAAATTTAATCACAAAATCAAAACCTTTCATTCGGATAAGTAATGCTTGGTGTACGTACATTTTTTTAAACATGGACGTATGGTGTACATCCTTGCTAGTTGTTTGTCTACAATGCAGCTTCTGAATGAATTATCTGTGTAGACATACAATTGGGGGTGTATATCATTTGTGTACCAACAACATTTTGTTATTCAGATAATGGTGCAGAGTTTCAAATCCTAAGCCCACGCCTCAAGCCTCACTACCCTTTGCATATATCATCTTATTTCATCTCCATAGATCACACTTCTGAACACAAGGGTTATGTTTAGCATTGTCACTGTCATATGGTTGAAACTAGCCCTACTTTATTTCTAACCTTACTTTACTTCATCCAAAATCCTTACCTCCCCAGTAATTTGTCCCCTACCCCGACCCACAAATTTTATTCTCTCTATGAATGCCTCTGCTGCACTCTTCCCAATTATTCAAAACTTTGTACCCTTGAGTGCCTATGTTGTCCTTAGATTTGGCTGTATAATCAACATCAATTACAACTTGGGTCAACTTCTTGTATCTTCTAAGGATATTTCCTCACTCAAAGGGCGTGTATTTGTTTATATTTCGTCAATTTTACATCAGTGGAAACTGTTTTTCCTTATAAAAATGTCACCACTCCGGAAATATGTCTTATGCCTACCTTGTCTAGCATCACTGTATGGGAAACACCTCACGTGTTTGTCCCTCAAAATCATTAACCAAATAAATTACCTAGTCAAATATCACACACATCTCAGCCCTCACTCACTTGATCTCCACCTTTATCTCAAGACTTTCCTTTATACATCACTCTCTATCCCCATGCATGCAGAGTATATCACCTCCCGCTACTTCGTCGTCTCCCGCTTCGTCATATTATCATTTCTGTGTCTGAACCCCGTACGCTAAAGTAGCTCTGTCGTAACCTGACTCGCGTCATGCAATGTCGGAAGAATTCAATGCACTTATTTGTAATAGTACGTACTTGGACACTAGTTCCCCATACAGGCAAGGCAAATATTGTGGGGATGTAAATAGTTTTTTTGCACTAAACGTTTACCTGATGGTTTTATTGACATGTAGAAGGCGCAGCTAGTGGCCAATGGATTTCATCAGATGCCATTAAACAGAGGCTTTTCCCATAATCAAACTTACTCTGTCTCTCTCTCTCCCTCTCTCTCTGTCCGTCTCTCTGTCTCTCTCTCGCCAGTCTTGGATAGCCTCTCCGCCAAATTGATGTTAATAATGCATTTTTACAGGTGCGACCTTCGTGATGAGGTTTATATGCTACAACCTCCTATATTTCTTGGTTCCACACGACTTTCACATTTGTGTCAATTACATAGGGTTATATATGGCCTTAAGCAGGCTCCCCATGCCTGGTATCAAGAACTGAAATTATTTCTTCTCCAATTTGGATTTGTTAATTCTAGAGTCCACACATCTCTATTTATTTATTGCCACCATGGTCATCATATCTATATTCTCGTGTATGTTGATGCTATTGTTATTATCGAGAGTTCTTCATCCATTATTCATCATCTTATTATTACTCTCGGACAAGACTTCTCTCTTACGGATATGAGTAATTTATCCTTCTTTCTTGGCATTGCAGTTTTTCCCCATTCACATTGCCTGCTTCTCCCTCAGCAATTCTATATCTTGGATTGATTGGCTCACTCTAAAATGTCTGCAAGTAATGGTGTTTCAACTCCCTTGACTTCTGTGAGAATCCTTCGCCTAACTCTTGACAACCTCTTACTGATCCTGAAGCTTACTGAACTGTGACTGGTTGTCTCAAGTTCTTGTCCCTCAACACGGTACAACTATGAATTAGAACCAGTATTCAATCTAGAACACATACATATGAAGAATGACGAGCTTTTCTACTATATTCAACTACGTGATGATATTCATTTTATGCTTTGAGTGAAGGTGAAGTCTGATGTATAGTCATTTTATTATATTTTCTGTATGTTTGTTGCACAATTTTGTGTATTTACAAAATACTTCGTATAAAGCAAAAAATATAGCCTCTTGAATTTTCCTTAGCATTTGAGATGTTTTTACTTAGATTTATTTCAGTTCAGATCAAATCAAATCAGATCAGTCTTAAACAAACTAGACCGGACCAGACCAAACTTTGACAACTATAAAATACACAGAGACGGGACATCTTCCATACAAGATCATACTAGTTCAGACCAAACTTAAACAGATCAGGGCAGACCATGAAATTTCAGTCAAAGTAAAACCATCTTAAGTATGACCTTTTTTTGTGTGAACACTTCATAATAGGCTATATGGTCACAATGACTAATTATACTACCCCCGTCCCATTTATATTGTCCCGGAAGAGGGTGACACGATTATTAAGAAAAGTGGGTTTGCGTGGTTGATATTAATTGATAAAGTAAGAATAAAGTAAGAATGATTTAGAGCCACACAAACTTTGCCAAATATGATATGAGACAATTTAAGTGGGACTTCCTGAAAAGGTAAAACGAGACAATATAAATGAGACGAAGGGAGTAATATTTTTTCTCAAATATTTTAACATTGCTTTGATATTGCACCGCACCATTTTAAACTGTTTCAAAAATACTATGATACAAAATGATTTTAAGTTTAGAATCAGACTATACCGAATTATTAGAAATTTCATAATAATATTATGAGTTTTACTAATTTAAGCTAACCGTGCCTAGGTATATACAGTCTATACAAGTATGAGCTTGCAAATTGTAACCCTAGATACGAAGCATGAAGTACTCAAGAGCCATCTATTTATCTCAAGTGTCATGCAGTTTACCGATCCGTTTCAGGACTACGCATTCTCTCCTTCACGGCTTTCATATTCACTCTCTTCCTTCCATCTAATTCTCGGATACCTCCTACGACGTCGCACGGCCTCTCTCTACAGATACCCATAGATATTAATTCGATTTCTCCAATCGCGTTTTCAGTGTTTTTTTTCCGTGTTCCTTCCCTTTTGAGGAAATCTACGGGGGACAATTTATGCAGCCTAGGGTTTCTATGATGCCGCCGCCTCCTACAACCTTCTCGGCGAAGCAAGAGTTCGACACGCCCACGAACAATCTGTGGGTTGGCAATCTCACCCCCGACGTGACTGAAGCCGAGCTCACCGCTCTGTTTGAAAGGTACGGCCAGGTTGACAGCATATCCTCTTACTCCGTCCGCAGCTATGCCTTCGTCCACTTCAAAACCCTAAAAGATGCCATGGCCGCCAAGGAGGCGCTGCAGGGAACATTGCTCCGCGGGAATCCTCTTAAGATTGAATTCGCGAAACCGGTTTGTATTTTCGTGTCTAGCCGTTGCTTGATTCGGGTCATATGTTTTTGCTTTTTGGTGATGGATTTGTTATGCTGGATCTGTAACCATATTTTACCTTGTTTTAGAGCTTTGCTTATGATGGCCTTTCATTTATTACAATCTCAATCATTTAGTCGTTTTCTCACCTCTATCAGCGAGTCGGAAGAGAATACGAACGAACTAATATTTGTTAAATATCATATATCCCATACAAGATAAGAACTCGTTCATTTTTCCTTTGGAAATCGATTTTTTTTTGAAATCTGGATTACCAGAAAGAAAACCATGAAGTTCCACCACCTGCAAAGCGTGAGAATCGAATACCTTTTTAATATTGGGGCAAATTTTTTGTTTTGGAATCCAAAATTTGAAAATGTACTCTAACGAAGAATACCAATGCGCTTATAAATATATTAAATCTGTATGTTGTGTGTGAAAATTAGAAAGCTTGATTAAAATTTATGCCTCCAATGGTGATGATGGATCTACTCGGTGCCGAGTAAATTTACAGTCGTGTTATGTCGTCAAAATCACTCGTCGAGAAATAATAGTCAATGCTCCCTTTCCCAGGAAAAAATTAATGTTGTACTCCGTATAACTTTTTGGCGTTTCAAATCAAACTCTAATGTTAAAGAATACTTGTACATTATTAAAGCGTTTGGGAAGTCTTGCAATCATTCCACGTTAACTTAATGAATTGTTTTCCTTTAAAAAATGCGCATGACGTGTTCTTTTTTCTTGTTTTTTGGGTTTATATTTCGCTCAACATATTGGATTAGCTGTTAAGATCTGGCAAACAAAGATTAAAGAAATCAATCACTGAAATTTAAATAAAGATTGAAGAAATCTACCTGTTATATATCACTTCCAAATCAATATTTGACAGAGTGCCATCCCAGACAGAGTGCCATCCCAGTCAATTCTTGTACGTTGTATATAGTTTTTTAAAAAGAGTGATCGAAAGTTTTGTTAGAGAAGTGAGCCTTAATTGCCTAAAAGAGTCTAAAGCACTGTTCTTTTAACGAATGGTAAAAGAAATGCTAATAAGGCCACCTTCGCTCTAGCTGGAGAATATAAAATTTAGCAAACACAACAAAGGGACATTCTGTGATCGTGAACCATATCTGTGCAGTATTTATATTAATGGCAATTAAAATACAGTATCAACAAGAAGCATATTTGAACTGGGAACAAAAAGTCTCTTCTGTGTAACCTTTGCCTCTGTCACAATCCTTACCGCTGGGTGCAAATTGCTGACTTCTAGTAGTACATTTGATGGTTCTCTTATAATGCAAAGCTACCCATTGCTATTCATAGTTTTAGGAACCTTGTGTAATCTATGTTTTGTTGTATCAATGCTGGAACAACGATGTTTTCGTCCTAGACAGTCCCTTACTTTAACTTGTCCCTCACGGATGGTCACTCATGGTCTTCCTGCTTGAGTTGTTTGACTGGTGACTTAAGTTTATTTATTGATTGGGTGTCTTGCTAAGAAGATATCTTGTGAAGAAAATTAGGGTAAAGAAGATAACTACTTCAGAAGTAATCCCTTTTGTTGCTGTACTATGAATACCGTTTTGTAAGAAACAAGATTCTCAACACTTCATTGAAGATTTGCTCCAACAAGAGTGTTGAAGTTCCAACGGAAGGAACATTTTTTCTAAAAATTTAGTTTCTAGCTTTATAGTTACATGACTCAATGATTAAGTCTCATATGTAGCAAATCATTAATACATGTTTCTTTTCTTCATTGAAGTAATATTTGCTTTGCAAGCGTGATAAATATTTTTGTATGGGCACTATGGTGGATAACATCTATACATTCTGGCAGGCTAAGCCCTGCAAAAGCCTGTGGGTTGCTGGGGTAGGCCAGTCTGTTTCTAAAGAAGAGTTGGAGGAACTTTTTAAAAAATTTGGAAAAGTTACAGAATTCAAATTCGCAAGGGACCGGAATACAGCTTATATTGACTATGCTCGATTGGAAGATGCAACCGAAGCACTTAAAAATATGAATGGAAAGCAGATAAATGGAGACCAGATTCGTGTGGATTATCTCAGGTCACACCCTGCAAGAAGGGTTAGTTTTACTTGATGAGACAAATGCTCAATAGTAATCTTAAATACACTTCGGTCTCTTGCTTAGCACTATGAGTTGGTTAAAGCATTGATATGTTGCTGGCACCCCCTCGATAAAATTTGATCTTCAAAATTATCTTTCACGAATGGATGAAACTATCGAAAATATTGTCTCAATGGATATTATTTGTTTGGTGTCATAACACTGTCAAGAGTGTTTTCAAAAAATAAATAAGTGTCAAGAGCGGATTTGTTTTTTGGGTTATGGCTTAAATTTATCCTTGTTCACCTGAAACTCTATTTTGGTGCAAGCAAAGGAGCTTTTTTAATTTTGTGTATGATTTTTCTGGGTATTTAACATGAACTTGTGACATCTTTTTAATTTCGCAGGAGCAAGGTCCTGACATTCCGAAAGAGGGACAGTTTCCTTACAGAGGTGTTCCACATACACAAGATTATATGAAACCTTACTCTGGCCCATTTCATGCTGGGTCCAAAAGGCAACACGTAATGCTTCATCCTTTATCTTCTATCTGGTTTATGTTTTCATTGTCGTGCTGAATTTACTTCTATTTACCGCACTGTTTCTGCTTCTGCACTTATTAGTTTTTGTATCAACAGAGCATATAATTGTAAAGGTCAATTTTAATGCACATGTTATTTTTGTGTCCTTTACACAGTTTGAGCCACAATTCCAGCCGCCTATTGGGGGCAGAGATTGTCAGCCAAGTAAGATCTTGTGGATAAGCTATCCTCCCTCTGCTCATATTGAAGATGACATGCTTCACAATGCAATGATTTTGTTTGGTGAGATTGAGAGAATAAAAACATTTGATGATCGGAATTATGCGTTAGTTGAATTTAGGAGTGTGGAAGAAGCAATTCTTGCCAAGGAAGGGTTGCAGGGAAAGCTTTTTAATGATCCCAGAATATCTATTGAGTACTCAAACAGTGGGTTTCCTCCGGCAAGGGAATATTTTGCACCCCATCCATCACAAGTGGGAGGCATATTGGATCACAATCACTCACTCCTTCCTAATAATAACATTCATGGGCTATTGCCTCGTGGTATTCACGGTTTCGATATGCTGAGGAGGCCTTTGGGCCTCCCTCCTCAAATCAGGTTAGATCATAATACTCCTGGCTTTGAATATCCTAACGTGGCAGCAATACATAAATTGCAAGAATCAAGTCCTCATAATCTGATGGGTGGACCTGAGTGGGGACGTTCATCACCTGTACCTGAAGCTTCTCCTACAGGTGTGCCGAAATTACTGAACAGACCAGCAGCATCTAGTGGTTGGGATGTGTATGATGCTTCTGCTTCCCAAGTGCACAGGGAATCTAAAAGATCAAGAGTTGACGATGCCTTGCCTCATTATGATGTTCCGTTTCCCCCTAAAAGATTGGATGATCAAATATTAAAAATGGATGAACGATACAATATGGGTTCAGTTGGTAACATTAGGGGAAGGCATCACCCAGCAGATGAAAGGGTTACCCCAGGTCATGATTATATATGGCGTGGCCTTATTGCCAAGGGTGGGACACCAGTTTGCCGTGCTCGTTGTGTTCCTATTGGTGATGAGATTGAGGGTCAGATGTGCGTAATTGTTCCTTTCCGTGGTTTTTTCTGTAATTTCTGCTTACTTTTTGATTGATTTATGTAGTTAGTGCACACTTTTAGGTTCCATCTTCAAGATTAAACTAATTACGTTGAATTAATTAACTCTGCAGTCCTGATGTAGTCAATTGCTCAGCCCGGACCGGGTTGGACCTGCTAACTAAACACTATGCTGATGCTGTTGGATTCAAAATTGTCTTCTTCTTGCCGGACAGGGAAGAGGATTTTAGTTCATATACAGAGTTCCTGAGGTACCTAGGAACCAAGAACCGTGCTGGGGTCGCAAAATTCAATGACAGTACTACTATGTTCTTGGTACCTCCATCTGATTTTCTCACAAATGTTCTGAATATTGCTGGGCCGGAACGTTTATATGGGGTAGTATTGGAATTTGAACAAGCGTCTGCCATGCCTGTACATGCACCGCCACTGCCAATGGACACACTTCAGCCACCTCCATTTGTAGATCCTCCACAGAAGATAACATCTTACCATCAGACTGCGTACAATATGATGCCTCCTAAGGATTCACAAATGGACTATAACAATGTTGCCTTACGAGAAGACGTGAAACTCCCTCCAAAAATAGCTACTAATGAATCTGTTCCATTGCATGCAGCTCCCCCAAGTAATACCACATCAATACCTCCTCCTCAAAGCAGTGTTACTTTAACGCCTGAACTTATTGCAACTCTCACTTCTTTATTACCACTTAATAATTCCTCTGGTTCTGAGTACAACACAACATCTCCTACTTTAGGTCCTGTGTTAAATAATGTGACCGTTGCACCTCCTCCAGAAAGACAGGATACACAGGGGTGGGGATATGATCAACTAGCTCACCATAACCCCCAAACCTACCCTTTACCACCACCCCAAGTTCATCATACGCTCTTCAATGGCCCCCCCAGCCATTCTGCTCATGGAGTGGTTGGGTTCAGTCAAATTCACGAGCAGCGCCCTTATGACCTTCAAGTGCGCCCAACTGCGTCAAGTAATGCATTTGCCTCAACGATTAACCCAGTACAAAGTGGGAATATGGTGGGCCCGTCGCATGTTGACCAGCACAATCCACATGGATCGTCTCAGGGTCCACTTATTCAGAACCCTGGGGTTTTTGGATCAGATTCATCTACAATGTATGGTTCCACAGTGCTTCAGCAGTCCTCTGTGTTGCCCAATCAGGCAATGAATCCCCAGCCTTATGCCATTACAACCCCCCAGGCTTTGGGACCTGGAGGGAATGCTGCCCCCTCTCAACAACTTAACTGTGGGGCAGGACAGGAAAGTATTGAGTCCGAGGAAAATAAGAATGAGAGGTACAGAACAACATTACTATTTGCTGCAAATCTGCTATCGCAGATTCATCAACAACAACCAAATAGTCAAAATGGTCAAGGATCATGAATTCATTCAAATGGTGCTTGCATTCGTTCAGGTAATTTATCATCACCTTGTTGTTTGGATGAGCTCTAATTGTCCTTGTGATTAAAATTAAGGTGTGTGCATTATCTGTCTTAGTTTGATTTTTCTGCTGTCTAACGTCTGCAACTAAGTTGTAGGTAGCTGAAATTTTCTTTTCTGTCCTCTTTCTTTAGAGCTATAGCTTGTAATGAAATGAGCTAAAAAGAGTTCAGCACTATATTAATATTGATACCAATTTTTAAATAATTCTACCTCCATCCCCAAATAGAGTCATGTTTAACCATATATTATTTTTTTGGTGGGCAACAACTGCCATAAATTCTAAAGCATACTTGTATTTTTTGGCGAAGAGTAAATTTATCAGGGAAACTATATTTACCTATTTTTTATTCGATCTATTGAGGCATTACATAAAAAATTATCTTCTTTTGATCAAATTCGACTCTGTTGGAGATAAAGATATTGTTCGGGATCAAGTGAGTAATCCCCTTTTCTTCTCACTTAAAAGAAACCAGTCAAAACAGTTGGCCTCTCTCTACATAGGCTATTTAAACTAGTTTTGGTAGACAATTTCTTCCAACTACCACTTGCACATCATAGCTAGTCCTCTTTTGATTTATAGAGGAATACCAAACTCATATAATCCTTGCCACATTTATCTCATATAGTCATATTCTGATCTCTTATTCCTGCGAATCCTGCCTAATGGAAGTCTAAATGCACATATTTCATACACATCATTGTTAGTTTCCAAGTGAAATAGAATAATAGATGACCATCTTCATATTAAGAGTGGAGAATGAGTTTTTTATATATTTATTATTATTACTATTTTTTTTGGAATTTTGTCTGCTCTTGTTACGATATTGCCAAGACCAAATTTTTTAAAAAGTTGACGCGTCATATTTTTACAATTGCATGAAAATAAATGATTGCTCTTTACCCCCTCCATTTATGCAATTTTAAATTCATCTTAGTGTTTCCTTAAAAAAAATCATCTTAGTGATAAAATTACTAGTTAATATGATGTCATCTTGCATTACTGTGGTTCATAAGCTGATTTATTATTAATGTGGTATTTAGAGAATAAAAATCAAAATTGAAGTCTTTAGTTCTATGTTTATATCTTTGGAATATAAGTGGATTGCATGTGCTTCCTTTGGTAATGTGAATTCTTGTACAGAGTTATGTACTTTGAAATATTAGGGTGCCATTATTTGTTACTTTTTTCTCTAGTTGTGTGAGTGTGTCAGTGAAGTATTAGCAGGCTTGGGGGTTCCTAAGGGAGACATATTTACAGCATTTTCTAGTCTTGCTTGGACCTGCTCAAGTTTATTTGAGTTGTATGTAAATTGAAATTATGCACTTCTACTGAAATCTTATATAAGCTGAGTTGTGAAATATTGCATATTTGTGCAAACTAAATGATTGATACAACTATCCAAGGTGTCCTGAAACCTACCTATCCCAAGGAGAAAAAATAAAAATAAAAAACTTTGTAATATCTGTACATAGCTAATGATCATCAAATAATGTAAAAATCAACCGGTGTAGGCCACGTTATTTTGTCAGGCACTTCATTTTTTTAGCAACTCTAAAAGCCCGGAGGCCAAGGCAGATTGCGAACTGATAGACAAACTTGCATACTAGATTCGATTATAGAATTCACAAATTTGGCAAAATTTAAAACCTGTGTCTGCAATATTATTGCACAAACTGCATAGCAATTAATAATATAATGTAATATAGTATAAGAAAGATAATATTTTTTGAAAACATGAAACTCCTAATTCCTCCTCTGGTCACATACTCACATGTGGAATCAAACCATGTGTCTATTAAAACTTACAGTTTTACCTTAATCGGACGAGAATGTCTATCAAAAAAATGGGCGATAATGTGATGGGTTTCAATAGAGGTACTTAACATCCTATATGCGACTTCATTTTTAGTCGGTTCTGGCTGATTTTTAACATGCTAGAATCGGCTGGTCGGGTCCACTTTGGCTGATCTCGACCCAAAACTAGGGTCGGGCTTCAATGTGACAATGGCGTGCAACTGACTATGAGTGAACCCCGAAGTAGGACCAAAACATTATCGCTTCAACATTTCATTGTTGACGTGGTTAGAAAACTATAAACTCGTTGAGACGGTGGCTTCGTTGGGATGTGTAAAAATATATTAGATTTACAGAAGATCAGTTTCAGAAATAATAAAAGCATTGCTCGGTTTTGAATACATAATAAAGACAAAATACATCAATTTAACAAATTACAAGACATAAGACAAACTGCATGTGTCCCTGACAAATTACATTTGGAACATCGAAACGCATGGCATACGTTGTCATTAATTAGTTCATGTTTATTTTTTTCTACCTATATATTTCAATCATAGACTCTCTTGGTAAATATTTTTCTGAGAAAATGTCGAACGTTACTGATATCAGTATTTTCACCCAGCAGTAACAATGCGTGGGCTCTGATTTTATGTACAAAGTTTTATCTTGCTTCTTCTTAAGCAAAAGCTAGTAACCCGCAGGTTAATGCTATGAATCCTATGATGCATGGGTATAAAAATATCAATATGTTGATACGCATTTCTGGCAAGTGGCGTTTAATATAGGACATGAGAAGGGGCATATCTGTGGGCACTAGAAAATGCATGGGTAAATCCGCAAAAATAAACAGAGTAAATATTATTTCAAATGCCATTTGAATAATAAAACGACTACAAAACTCAACTTCAATTTAGGTACTAGGTTTGCTGTAAGAAGTCAACATGATCTGAGTACTACTTGAGTGAGAGTTTGTCGAGTATTTGATTTTTTTTTGAAAAGGTAGCTTAGATATGTGTGTTGATTCAGGAATATAGAAATATCCTGAATGGTAATGGTATAGGTTTACTTGTAGGAGGTTTTTAGTATGGTAATGGTATTGTAACACCCTCCATCCCATTCTGAGCTACTCACTTGCATGTTTTAGAAAATAATAAAAAACAGCACTCTTAAATAATACGGAGTACTATGTAATTTAATCATCAAATATTAAAAATGATACACATGTAACATCATAGTTATCATCAAATAGTTTAATAATTGCGTCTTTTTTTAATGAGAACTGAGAAGGTTAAGTTGGGATAGAAGTACTCCGTAATATTTTATTAAGGTGCACTTTAGTTGCTTTTAGGAAGTATTTTGTATTCTTGATTTCTATTTTTTTAAATGAAACTTCACGATTGTTTTTTACTTTGTAAGTAAAAACATGTTAAATATTGCATCATTCACATGTTTTACTTTGACTAAGTCTTATTTATTAGTGTATTAATTAATCATACTTTAAAAGTTAGATTCGTCTCATTGTAATTTTTTGGAAAGGAAATCGCCTATATATATCATTAGTTTCAAGATCTTTTCATCAATAAAATAGTCATACCTGATAGCCTGATACTAACTAATTTTTATCAACTACGACTGTAAATCTTACAATTAGACATAAAACGATCACCATTAAAAGAGCAATGCAAATCGCTAATCATGAAACGGACATGACACAACTATCTTGTCAACTATCACTGTCATATATTTGTATACTTCAAATGACATAAACTAAGCTACATCCCTAATCATCCCGACAAACTTAGCAACAAAGACTTTAACAAGAACTCGACAACAAAATAACAATAATTAATAGAATAATTTTTTTGAACCCTAACACCTCGGTCAAACCATGGCGGTGGTTCGAGAAGAGGCCGACCCATTAGTATCGTTGTGATTGAGTGATTGGTCTTCCATCACTAGCTGAACTCCGCCCTTCGCCAATTCCGCTGCTCCCCAATCCTCATAGCTCCAAGTACGCGCTTAAGTCGTTGCTCGTCGTCGTCCTAGTCATGGCACCACGAGTCCACGACCTCTCACAGTTAAAGCAAGACCTCTGACTAGAGTTTGCACCATATTCACATTCTCGTCTTTCATCCTATGTCTTCTCGTTAAAGCTAAGAGAAAAACAATCCCTAAAAACTCTAAAATCATCGATGAAGAAAGCTTTGCGCAACGCTGCAACCCAAATTTATCTAGACCAGGCTAGACTCTGCCGTTGCATGTATTGCTAGTAGTTAATAAATATTCATCGGGTATCAAACCCACCTTTCCGTCGGGAAAAAAGCCCTAGACAATCCTGCGGAGTAGATCACGACTCCGAATGATTGGTGTTGCCTTATTGTAAATTTTTAAAATCAGACTAATTAAGTTTTTATACTAATAGGGAATAATATATATTAATGGTCAAAGTTCTGCATTGACTAACATGAAAAGTAGATTGTTGCGCTTATTTAAGAACAGGAGAAGTATTACCCGAAAAAATTGAAAAATAAAAACTGGTTGAAAATTCCATTGAAATCGAATCAAATTGAATGAAACCAAAATTGACTAATCCATTGACGGCTTGGTTTACGACTTATAGTTCACATGTTTAAGTTAAAAAATGAATTTAAACCGATTGACAAAAATCGCTGGGGATGTGCAAAAATTGATCAAACTGATACAAACCGGTTGATACCGACTCAAGTTGTGTTGTCTTAATTTTGATTTCGCCTTTTCTAAAAGTTTGCTAAAATCGATTGATTAAAAATTGAACCTACTAAAAACCGAACTGATAAAGCAATGATTTAAATTGAACCTACTAAAACCGAACTGAAAATGCCAAAACTGACTAGATGAGCACCGCTAATTCCTTGAGTAATACAATGATTTTTGAGAAATTTTAAGGTGTGAAAATGTGAAATGATTTAAATTTGTATAATATGCTCTTAAATGAATTAAATTCGTATCATACTACACACAAATGTTTTGTATGCAATATTATTAGAATTTTCGTTTAAAAATCTTGCGTGGCAGCTGGAATTGCATGCGTGTAGTCCGCTTTACATTACTTTATTTCATGTCATCACCGTAGGGTGGACTCTATGTCTGGAATTCTTGTTGCACACAAAATTTTTTGGAAGAAAATATGAACAGTACTATTGGTTGAAACTTTATCGGTTGAAACATTTACGTTAATTATAACACTATTTGTTTCATTTAAGAGTTATTGTACCAAAATGCAACAATAACAATAGTACAGGTGTTTATAAATTTTATCCGAGTGTTAAGTAACCCTTGGAGGGTATACTTCAAAATGCGCAAGGCTAAAGAACTTTTTTGGTGACATTAAAATCGACTAAATTGACTTGAATTGAGGAAATCATAGATGGAGCGATTGAATTCAATAATCTATTGAGTTGTGAGAATATTATATTCATAAGAAAATAATAAAAAGTCTTGAATAGTGATCTTCAACAATTTCAGAATGCGAAATAAAAAATACATGTTTGATAAAAAAAAAAGTTGATTAATAAGCGAAAATTATGTGGTATCAAACAGTGAGAATGTTTTCCATTGTTTAAAAAGGTATTTTTCCATAGTTAAAATATAGTGTTTCCAAACAACTTGTTTTGCTTATTTTGAATACTAAAAACTGAAAGCAAGTGGATTCACGTGTTAGGATAATACTTCTCCCGTTCTTAAATAAATGCAACGGTCAACATTTCACTCTTGCCGAGACACGACTTTGACCATTAATATAAATGATTTTGTATTAGTAAAAAAATTAAAAAAAATGGATTATAAAAATTTACAATGAGACAATTTTAAAATATTTTTTTCATAAAATAATATTATTACATTAATAAATAAAACGTAGTCAAAGTAGAACATGTGAATAGTGTAAAAATCAAAGTGTTGCATTTATTTAAGAACGGAGGTAGTATTCTTTTATACCCCGTATCTATTAAACAAAGGAGAAATTGATAGTAATAATTCCAATTATTGGCGGTCCACTCATAATAATCCCAACTATCGATTATTTTAGAATAATCCAAACTTCAGGGACCTTACACCAATAATGGTCCCTGTAAATAAATTCATGTAGTTTCTAAAGTGGTTGAAAAGAGATATAACAAGTATCCTTATAAATAATCTCAACTTTTGATTTTTACGCCCAATTTCTATTGAAAAATCACTTGTTTTAGGAGGTAATATCTGGTCATGGACCATTATCGGCGGACGGTTCATATAGTTGGGATTGTACAAAAATAATTAATAGTTGGGATTATTGTCAGTGGACCGGCAATAGGTGAGATTATTATTTTCAATTTTTCCTTAAACAAAAATTATTTTTTTCTCAACTCTCAATATAATTTTTCAAAATCACTTTTTTGAAACGAAGTCAAATTTTTGGAATATTCTTTTAAACCTTTTTTCGGTCCATGATGTTGTCAATTTTTATTAAAAAAATACTTATATTATAATCTCTAATTGATCATTTCACAGGAATAACATTG